TGTGGTGTAGTTGGCGAAAGTCATAACAAAAAAAATAATATGGGTGTAAATGGCATATTTTTATTGCCAATTTACTGGCTGTCATCACTTGACTAATACACACATACATACAACTACATACATACAAAAATATTCTAATTAGCGTGCAATTTACTAGCGCTGGATATATTCACTTGAATGGTATGTAAACTTGGGATTGATCAGACATTACAACTACTTGAATCTTTCGTACATATATAAACGCAATATTTCGTATAGTCTGAAGCGTTTTAGAAGTTCTTGAAAAATGTTAGAGAAAAAAAAACAAGCCAAGTTCCGGTGTAATCGAAAATTTTATAATCTCGCAATTCGCAAGAATCAAAGCTTGAAAAAAACCTTAAGTTTTGTTGTCAAAACTTTATGTTAAACTAGGGAAAGTAACGAGGTGATTTCATTCATATAAGGCAAAAATATATACTGTTACAAGAAAGATATTTCTTACATATTGACCGATAGATGCGGTTTAAAGTGCGTTCGAAAATATTTATGGTAGATATATGGGAGCTAAGGGAAGTGTTTACCAGATTTTACGTATTTTTACCAGCTTTTTTTATCTTAACCGTTACATGGGCAGTGGGCATGGTTATTATTTGATTTTCCATTTTCTACTTCTAAAAAATTTACAGTCCACAGGTGTCCCCGTTTTTTTTGATCCCTTGCATCAACTTGCTAGTTTTCCGTGCTTAGTTATGACACTTTATATGCATTCACTTAACTTTGTGGGCGTGGCAATAGACCGATTCCGCCCATTTGCAACACCAACTCCGCTTGGGTGCCAAAGTTTCATCAAGGTATCTTAATTTTTACTCAAGTTGTCGCTTGCACGGATAGACAGTGACTCGCAATTCAATTCGTCTCGTCATCCCGATTATTTATATATACATACATAACTCCATGTCTATCTCGATTAGCATTGCTTTGGAGTATAATTTATGCTCAATTTCCTAAAGATGTCCTGTCCCAAAAAAAAAAAAGATTTCATATAATAACTTGATTTTTATCGATCAGTTTTTATGGCGCTATGTATATCCTACTTTGGACCGCTATCGGTTCCGATCATAGAGTAGCTTCTTATCTTAAAAACTGAAGGATTAGTTCGCATATATAGAGACAGACGGACAAAGCTAAATCTAACATACTCTTACTTTATGAGGTTCTTTACGTTTCCATCTGTTTTTATAAAATCTATAATTTTTTATTTATTTGTTAAATATATCTCAACATATTTTTTTTTTAAACTAGTAAGACAAAAATAAGTAGATTTGATAGTTAGATAGAAATATTTCTGGGTCTGTTCTTATTAGTCCAGATAGTTTTTATATATTTTTATATTTAATATTTTTCTTATAATAGTACCATTTTTATCATAATAATACAATTCTTGCCATAAAATATTTTAGATCATATATTTCAACATTTAAATATTATTTTTATTGTAGTAAAAATATATCTTTACAGTTATAATCTATAAATTTATTGCTAAATATCTTTCAATCACTTTTTCAGTGCGGCAATAGCAACAGCAAAACTAAAAAAATTGGAACAGAATAAATAACGAAACTCATATAAAATGCAACAACTCGGATTTAATACCACTAATGTCAACAAAAACAGCGCAATATCTAAAAATGGCTATAACATCTACGGCGCTATAAATGCTACAAGTGTAAGCTACCACAACAGAAAGCTTTTGAAAGCCAGCACTCGAATGTCAAACTAGCCAACAGAGTTGCCATCAATGCCTACCATCAAGGTTAATTGCGGCACTAAAGAAAGCAATTCAATCGAAGTGTTTTGCCTAAGGCGCCAAGCAAACAATGATAGCAACAATAAAGAAAGCAAATATTTGATTTTGTTTGCACTTTTAATATTTTTTTGCCTAGTTTCACGTATCCATAAGACATGTTGAGACAAGAGAGGCATTCAATGTGAAAGAATGCACTTAAATGTCAAATACTGCGGTCCTCTGGCGTCATTGTTATTAGTGCTAATATTATTGCATTGATAATTATTGCTATTACGAATTGAGGTTAGTCAAAGGGATTTTTCATATACTGTGCTATAGCATATACACTTTTTATTACCATTATTAATTGATTACAAATAAATTTATAATGTAATTTAGCATATATAGGTAAGTATTAAATGAATATTTAAAACAAGTTTTAATGCTACCAAACATTATAAAACGCCATAAACGACGTGCAGAAGGGATTTGATAGATATTGCAAGGGTAAATCTGGGGCTTTAACTACATTTCGAGGTCTTTATGCAAGCAACAATAAGTGTTTAAAAGTTAGGTCATCCAAAAAGGGCATACAACGCTAAAAATCGTCTAAGGTATTCATGGAAATGGAATGGAGGTTGGGGTGTTTGTGATTTATAAGCCTTATGTAAATTTCTTTTGCTAAGACAGCTTAGTTTTGGTGAATGTTATAGACTTATATACCAACGATATTGGCTAAAAAAAATTAAAATAAAACTTGTGGTGAATAGGCATGAAAGTTTTAATCAAAGATATTAACATACGACAAAGAAAGTACTATTTCGTCTTCGATTCGCTATTACTTTGTTCGCTAACTTTGAGTGTTGCTCTCTTGTCAAAATTTTACACGTGAAAGTAACAACAAAACTATCGAGTTGAATTTGATACATGTAAAGTTATTTCCTCTTTAAAAATGAAAATAAATATATTTTTGTATATTTTCATATAATTTTAAAAACTTAAGACTTCAAATAAAATATTATTGTATCGAAAAAAAGGGCATGTGAGCTGCTCGACACTAAAGGATTAATAAAATGTTTTTGGGTTCGGAAAGAAACAATTCTTCACCAAAGAAATAAGAATAATTGGGTTTTTTTCGATATAGCACGCTCTTTTTCTATTTATTTCTCAAGTTGTTTTTAACATAAGATATTGGGGAAAGAAAGAAGTTATTTTAACTGTAGTCGATAACTAAGTTTTTTATTTTCTGGTATGTATTTCCAATTTTTATCATAATAAATTGGTACGGAAAAGGCTTTTGCTTTGAATTCATGAGCTGGCAGAACGTGCTTGAAGAAAATACCAAACCACCGTTTATTAGCGAGTCGAATACAACCTGAACCGGAGGACGGACAAAGTAATGTTACGCCCTTAAATGAAATTTAAAACTTTTCTATCAGCTGTCAATGAACTACCAAAAAATAAAATGAAAAACAATGAAAATACGTAAAGTAATAATAACGTAACAATAAAAGTGAGTTGACGCTTCAGAAAAAACAATAAAAATAATATATACCAGCCAAGTGTTGACATTATGTAAAGAAAAACTTTGCTGCTGATGACAACCACTAACAAATAGCAATCAACTAAATAATGTCTTCAAAGCTAATAAATGATGTGAAAAATATACGAGAGGGAAATACATATAACATTAATTAAATGGAAAAGAAGAGTTAAAGAAAAGCGAGAGATTAAAAAATATTAAAAAAATGAAAATCGAAGAAAAGATCGATGATGATCGATGCAACAAATGAAAGCAAAGCAATGACAAATGATGGCGCTCGAGGCAAGTGACAAATGCCAGCAAATATGCTTGGCAATATAAAAGAAGTGAGCTGACGGGGTATACGCCATGAGTACACTAGAGTATTAAAGAAGTAGATCATATTAAAAACAAGTATGATGATATAAAAATTACAAAAAAAGTTAAAAACATTTCGAATGTTTCTACAAGCTGAAAATGATATATGTATGTATTTATTCGTAATTTATACACACCTTTACCACGGCGTATGAGTGTCAATCGTACTTAGATACAAATCTTCATATGCATTTCCTCAACAAGTTTGTCACTCTGGTTTATAACCACTGTTAGTGTTAATGATAGCACAACGTTAGTCAGTTAGTCACACGCACACAAGTACATGTCTACATCACATCTGACAAAATTAACTAGACTAAACGGCATGCCAACTAAGTGACAGCCAAACAGCAGAGTGGCATCGTTAAGTGAGTGAGTGAACGATTGCATGAATGGATGCAAAAACAATTGTAAACACAAATTTATATCTACATGCAAACCCATTTATAAATATATAAATACATATATATATATATAGTACTTCTTGCGCAGTTTATTAGTTACAAAGTGTTGCGCATGCGTGCTGACAGCTACGAATAAGAGACTAGGAATGCAAAAAAAAAAAGCAAAGAAAAGCAGGCAGTTGCAGAAAAAATATTATTAAATGCAATGCATGCAAAAATTTACAAATATACATGTTTGCAGGTATTTAAGCGTTTGTAGAGCTGTGTCTTGGTATTGAAAAACAAAACACGTTATTTGTGGTAATACATTTTTTTTATTCTTTTAAGGGGTTAGAACAGTCTACAATTATCAAAAAATCTTTTATTGTTTTTGCAAATTTTTGTTGTTTTACTTGCAACTTTGTTTTAAAAAAGAAATTACTGCTTACTTTGTCGGTAAAAAATTGAAGATTTTTTACAAGACCGCCGTATATCGAATCCAAACAAAATTTGTATGTTGCTGCATACAGCACGAGTTTCCAGAATTATCGTATCCCGGCCCTCGGGGAAAAGGTAATCCGAAGGCAATCCTGATGATGGGGCCAATAGCCGTCATTTTGCATCTAAATGTCCACATACATTTTTTATACACTCAAATGCATGTTTAATAAAGCTACATATATAGAGAGAGTTGCGTTCATTTCCGTACTTAAAAAATAAATTATCAAAGTTAGGGTTTTTTGAGGGCTCTAGACTGATTTAACCCCATAAGTAGTTTAAAATCGTATGCATTCCAGAAATTGAAAGTCAAAATAGCGGAAATATGCTTCATATGTAAGACAAACAGTAATCTTAAAGCAATTAAAAGACATAAAACACAACTTTTTAAAATTTTTTTTTTACCACCTTGCCATATATGTTTATGTCACTTATGTGTGTGCATGTTAGTAATGAAAAAATGTAAACAAAAAGCTGTCTAACAAACCGCATGCAATAAAAATGTTAATTACTTTAATTTGATATGAAATTGAAAGTGTAATTGAGCCGAACTAATGAAGACAAACCAAACGCCAATGGCCACAAACAAAAACAAAGGCAAGAACTGGTGAATGAAAAGACAGACAAACGACTGCATAACTGCAATTCATCAAGTGTGAAAGCAATCGGTGAGCAGTTTTGGCAGTTATGGAGTATGTGTAATTGTGCGGCTTAAATGCACACATATCCAATATACACACATACCTGCATATAAATACGTTTGGGTATAATTAATTTTCGTTGCAGGCATTTTTCAACAATAATTATACTTACACGTGGAAATTTTCCTGTATTTTCCACACTGGCTTTTATGATATATGCGTGCATGTACAGCTATAATTAACTACGTAGTTATGTTTGTATGTAGTATGTACGAATTATTATGCATGTGAGTTTATTAATTATTTAACCAATTATATATTACATAATTACACACATATTTGACGGCTTTAGCAGTAATGTTATTGCAGTGCTGTTAGCTAAACTGTATTTAAAATTACATGACAGCTTTTACAAACAACAAAATATTTTAACACTTTACTTTAAGGACTGTACGTATTAATCAGTATCAGAATAGTTTGTAACACCCAGAAGAAAACGTGCAAGACCCTATAAAGTATATATACATACATATATAAATGATCAGCGTGGTAAGCTGAGCTAATTTAACCGTCCGTCTATATATACAATACCATTTTGTTTTACATATTCTTTGATGTAAAAAATAACAGCAACGCATTAAAATAGTATAACAAGAAATAAAAAATAAACAAGCCCCAAAGGTAGATTGTTATAAAAACTAGAAAAAACGTTAATTTTGGTTGCACCGAAGCTAAAGTAACCCTTCACAAATACAAAAGATTTCTTACAAGAACTTAATTTTGATCGGTCAGTTTGTATGGCAGCTATATGCTATAGTAAAACGATCTGAATAATTTCTTCGGAAATTGCACTATTGACTTAGGGGATAATCCATACCAAATTTCACCAATGTCACAATGTCTGAAACTACGGAAAAGTTGGAAAATTATTTTTTACGAAATGGCTACTCCCGAAAAAAACATTTTTTGTACCACTATTTTGACTGTTTCGAATTTTTTAATAGTAAATATTGAAATTTGGTGATATTGCTAGTTCCAGACATAAACAAGTCTATAAAGAAAACTCTCTAAAAATTTCAGGTAAAACGGTTTAATAGAATCCGAGAAATCGTGGGTATGGCTTGAAAAAAAAATAAAACAGTTTCGCGAAAAGCGCGTTTAAAGTTTCAGTTCCGGCGAATCAGTTTGGATGCCGGGTCAGCAAAATACCTATATCTCCGAAAATAATTGAGAAATCCTCTTGTAGACATATTCTTGAATAGTTAAATTCCGAAAATAATTTGAATTTCGAAAAATTATCTTTTAACCTATTCTTGAACAGTTAAACTTTGAAAATATATTTAAAAAAAAAAGAAAAGATTTTTCTTTTATTTCTAGACCAGAATACCTCTTAATATAACTTGTTCAGTGTATAAAACCCCATCTCGATGGTGGATTCAATTATTTCGAGTCTTCACCAAACACATTTAAGCATATTTTTCTCATTTCTCTATTTACTATCGATTTAATATGCAAAAAAAAAAAGAAAAAGAAAAATGGAACCCTTTATTCAAGCCGAAAAAAATTTAAACATATAAAATTTATAATTTTAAAGCAGAAATACATTGACCGGAATTTTATTTATAACAGCAAAAACCTTAAAACTTCATTAAACATTTCTTCTCATTTTAATTTAGAAATAGTTATAAAGTCATAAAACTTATATACACAGAAAAAAAAATCTCTATTGTCAGCTAATTATCTTCCATCAATAATTCGCTTCGATGGCTTTTATTGTATAATAATTCCAATCTACACCACAAATATGGTTGGTAATGTAAGTCTATAGAAATTAACCATGGTTTGATAAGCGTTAAGCAATAATACAAAATAGTCCATACCATTTAGAGATACAGGAAATATCAAACAAAGGTTGTGAAAATATTTACAAGAGAAAAAGGCAAACGAAAGGTATTACAAAACGATTCATAATGGAAAAAAGTAAAGGTATACAAGTTTGCGAAATTCGCAAGACCTTTTACGAACGAAAATATTTAAAAGAAAATACAGGAATAATTTGCAGAAAGATTTTCATATAGTAGGAAGTTGTAAAAAATGCTGCATATTTGAAATTGTTAACTAAAAAAAAATTCTGACAGTAGGTAAAGGAAATTTATTATAAATTAAATGGTATTTATGTTATTGGCATATTTAGCTAGGAATTTATGTATGTATGTATACATATAGATAAATATACACATACATATGTATATGAGAGAAATGTGACACAAATTAGTTCATTCAATTGTCGTACAAGCTACAGCTATTAAATTGCCAGTTTTTATTAGAAAAATCAACGATCAAAATTTAGAATTACAGAATATAAAATGTCCTTCTATATTTGTCGAAAATTTAGCAAAACCGATTTTACGATGCCCTCTAGAGTACAAAAATGATTTAAATTCATAAAATATGTAAGCAACTTCAACAGGAATATAAGTAACTGTAATATATATGTTTATAAAGTACAGGGTAATTAATTTCTTCGAAATAATGCTGATACCAGCTATTCTATAATCTGGAATACTGTACAATGGCTGCTTTGAGTGCTACTATATATATTTACATAAACTTGTGATCAATATTTTTAATCTTAAATTTTTAATTCAGTTTAAATTTCACTTTTTAATTACAAGTTAATTGCTGCTTCAATTTACACAAAATCTAATTAAGAAACTTCCATACAGCGAATGCACATACATACATATGTATACCGTTGCCTTAAACTTACATTTTTCCACAAACGCAAGCGTCTAGGCAGACACCGGAAATGGGTGGTATGAATTCTATTTACAGGCCAATTAGCCCTGCAGCAGCAAACCCCTTAATTTTATTGACTATCATTTCACCAACGTGTGTATGTACTATGGACGTATGTATGTATGTGGGCAGATGGCCCACATGGCTGGCAACAAAGTTGCAGCACTCAGCACTCGATGAAGGCAAACCATCTGAGAGTTGCTCACTCGCGGCATTAATTTACCATACGGAGGCATACTTAGAGGCGCGTAAGCATAGCTGATTTTATATGAGTTAATTGCGTTTTAATTGCATCGTTCTTGCATAAATTCAGGTTATTGACATGTAAATATGTATGTGTGTGTATGTACACATACTCGTTGGTGTGAGTATATTGATGGATTAAACTGTGTGCTAATCTGAATATTTATAGTTTTCTGCAGTGTAGCAGGCTGCGAATTTTCTTATTAAAACATTTTTGGATTGAAAATTAAATTTTCAATTTTTAAATTTCAATGTTAATTTCACATTTTTAATTTTAAAGTAAAATTTTAGTTCCAAATTTTTTAATTCCAATTGCAATTAAATTTTTAACTTTAGAATTAAATTTTTAATTTTTAGTCCCAAAATTAGAAATTCAATTTTTAACCCGAAAATAATAATTAAATAAATATTTATAATTTAAAAATTGGAGCATGAATTAAATAAAATTTTTAATCAAAAGATGGTATGAAAAGTAAAAGATTTACATATTATAGTTCATAATTAAGAGATGAATCAAAAAAAAAGACAAGCAGTGTTAAACTATTACGAAATTTTATTACAAATAATCCTCTTGTTTTTTTTCAATAATAACCCAAATGGTAGAACACGAAGTACGCAAGCGAGAAATAATTAAAAATTCCAAAACATAGTTTTTAAAATTTTTTATTAACATTTTTATTTTTAAATCCGGTATTTGATTAAATTTAGAAATTTAAAAATTATTTTTATTAAATTTTTTGGGACAAAATAAAAAAAGAATTTATGCGGTAATTCAGTTGTCTTGCCTGTATATGTATGCAGAAAATAAAAGTTACCGTTATTTCCTTACTTAGTATTACTATTTTTTGAATCGTTAGTAGGTAACTATTAAATTTCGAAGCTGCATACTACGAATTCCGTATATTTCTATCATCGTTCTTATGTAAACGAGCATCAAACGATCACTCACTAAAACAACAAACTTTTTATATTTTAATACATTTAATGCACCTACTCTGTTACCATAAATTATAGCCATAGAAAAATATTTTCGTAGAAATTTCATTAATCTGATATATATAGATTAAGTTTTTATTTTATAGCAACGAACATACCTGTAACGAAAAGAAAAAATTAAATTAATTTATATGTAAATAAGATACATAGATATATAACTAGTCAAAATTATTATTCATATTAGTTCGGAATAAAATATCGAATATAATCAATAATTAAGAATTATCGTTAAAAATTCGCCTAACAATTTTTCCATTTTCTCAAATTTTAATTCAAATTCTGCAACTAAGCTGGATACAGATTAACTGATCGAAGAAAAGAGCAGCTTTTAAGCGCAATTAAACGCGTAAAACTGTAATATAAAAAAATTACCGATATTTGAAACTCACAATAAATGATGTAAAGAAACATCATAAAAATACACAAATTGGTGTGAGCACCTTTTTTAATATACGATATACTATGACTGAGGGTACTTGAAATCTAATAGTTAACTTTTCAGTTGTTATGATTGTACAAGTAGTATGATTCAGCGTATTTATAAGAATATATTTCTATAGCTAAAGCAAAACGATTGCTTAATATATTTTTTATATGACTGGGTATTCTGGTGCTTGCAATGTCATTTAATTTTGGTCACTTTTGACCCCTGTAACTATCGAAGGTAGTGAAAAATTCTTCGTGGAAACTCAATTATTTCTTTTGTAGGTAGTTTTTTATATTTTTAATTGCATAAAGCATGAAATACAAAACAAAAACAATAATGAAACAATTTAGGAAATCGCTGAAAGCATTGCTTTCAGACTTTCACATTATTACCGCTAACAATGACAATGAACAGCTCCATATAAACCTACACATGGAAAACTTACAAGTTAAGTGTTAAACACAATATCGATGAAATAACCGAAAAAGTAGTGAATTGAAAGTGGGTGTGAGACTTGCGATGGACTTAGCTAAGTAGCAGCTTGTAATCTTGCAAAAGTAAATTACGATTATGACTCAGCTGGCTGCTGCTTTTCGACTGTATTTAGCAGTGCATGAAAAGTAGTACACAAAAACATACTTATATATATGTATATATACATATATACATATGTATGCATCTATGCGCTAAAATGTATGAAGCTTTCAACACTTTTCGGCACTCTAACTGTGCAGTCGCTAAGGATTTATAGTTATTTAGAGTGCGACTTTCGAAAAATGAGTTCTCTTTTATTCGCTTTTGCCATAGTATTATCTCGAGCGC